AATAGCCTCTTCAACAAATGGTGTTGGGAGAACTGGACAGCCACGTGCAAAAAAAATGAAACTTGAGCACCAACTTACACCACATACAAAAATAAATTCAAGGTGGATAAAAGACTTAAATATAAAACATAACACCATTAAAGTCCTAGAGGAGAACGTAGGTAGGGAAATCTCAGATATTTCACGAAGAAACTTTTTTACTGACATGTCCCCTAGAGCAAGGGACATAAAGGAAAGAATAAACAAATGGGACCTCATCAAAATTAAAAGCTTCTGCACAGCTAAAGAAAACAGTATCAAAATTAAAAGAGAACCAACTGTATGGAAAAACATATTTGCCAATGACACCTCAGACAAGGGTTTAATCTCCAAAATATATGGAGAACTTACACAACTGCACTCTAAGAAGACAAGGAATCCAATTAAAAAGTGGGCCAAGGACTTGAACAGACACTTCTCCAAGGAGGACATACAGAAAATCCAAAGACACATGAAACGATGTTCAATATTGCTAGCTATCAGAGAGATGCAAATTAAAACCACAGTGAGATACCACTTCACACCAGACAGAATGGCCATCATAAACAAAGCAACAAACAACAAGTGTTGGAGAGGTTGTGGAGAAAAAGGGGACCCTAGTGCACTGCTGGTGGGACTGCAGACTGGTACAACCACTATGGAAAGCAGTATGGAACTTCCTCAGAAAACTAAAAATGGATCTGCCTTTTGACCCTGCAATTCCACTGCTGGGACTATCCTAAGAATACTAAAACACCAATTCAAAAGAACCTATGCATCCCAATGTTCATAGCAGCACAATTTACAATAGCTAGATGCTGGAAGCAACCAAGATGCCCATCAGCAAATGAATGGATCAAAAAACTATGGTACATTTACACAATGGAATTCTATGCAGCAGAAAGAAAGAAGGAGCTCCTACCCTTTGCAACAGCGTGGATGGAGCTGGAAAACCTTATGCTAAGCTGAAACAAGCCAGGCAGTGAAAGACAAATACCATATGATCTCACCTTTAACAGGAACCTAAATAACAAAACAAAGAAACAAGCAAAATGTAACCAAAGACACTGAAATAGAGGACAGTCTGATGGTGACCGGAGGGGAGAGAAGAGGGACTTTAAGGGCTCAGTGGGAAGGGTTCACAGGAACAAACTTAAAGGACACATGGTCATAGACTAAGGGGAGGGTGGTAATGGGAGGGAAGTGGGGAGGGTGGGAGGGTGAACTGGATTCGGAGTAAAAAGGAGAAAACTGTATTTGAACAATGATTAAAAATAATAATAAAAAATTTAAAAAAAAAGAAGATATAAAGCAAAATGAGAAACAGCGTTGATGAAGTGGGGGAGGGAGTGTGGTTGGAAGAATGAGGGCAGAAAGTGAGAGGCCCTGAGAGACAAATGAAGGCCTTTGGATTGAATACAAAAGGTAGTAGCGTGCAAGGAGTTGGAGAGGGATTTGATGAAAACCGTGCTCAGGAAGATGAATCTGGCAAACTGCACAAGCTGGATTGAAGAATGAGAGAGGCTGTAGTCAGGGAGACCAGCTAGGAAATTATTACAGGAAGAGCCTGAAGTGAGGTGAAAGGGGCCTGAATAGGGGTGGCAACAGCAGGACAAGAAGAAAATACATGGGAAGGCTACAATGGAGATGGAAATTACAAGGCTGGGGATAAGTTCAACCTGCTTTGAAAACAGAAGAAATTTAGAGCAAACAACAGGTTGATGGACAGATTGGAAGGCTGAAAAAGAGTGTCTACTGAGGGTGGGGTGACAGATGTAAAGTAGTGGCTTACTTTTCATCATGTTAAATTTGGGGTATTAGGAAGGGTGTCCAGGGGACAATTTCCTATGAAGAAGGAAGAAGGGTAAATTGTCTGAGATTATTTTGGTTTCTTAGTGAAACCGAAGAAAGAGAAACTCACCCTGAAAATTCTTATCTTAAGCCAATCCTGATCAAAATGGTAGAATAGGGAATTCTCGCCTACCTTCAATCATATACTCATCTTTTCTCCTTGTCCTCCAAGTGTCCCCAGCCTTTGTCCTCCCCAGGCCCCCACCCCCATGAAAGTCTCTAATACACTCTCAATAGTGATTTTGCCCTTATGTCTCTTTGCCAAAGTGGACTGATATTTACAAATAAAACTGAAAAGACTGAATGATACTTTAGTCAAAGGAATACATTTCTGACTGGGATTTCAGGCATATGGTTTTGCAGGGAGGACAAGGGAAATATTTGGGAGCAGGAAGAATGGTATGTGGCTGCTTCTTTCTGGCATCCTCTGTCCCTGCACATGTAAAAGTGCAAGAAGGGAAAAGAGTACAAAACTCTCTGGTAAAAGCTGGATTATTAAATACAATCATTACCAAATAGTACTTTCAGAGAGCACTTACATGCATGTTGTTAATGGCTAAAATGAGGCCTTATCTGCACTATACTTATATAATTGAGAGTAGACAGGAATTAATACACTTACAACCCACCCCCATTTACACATCCCTACTCCAGAACCACATAAGAGCCACTACCTACCATACTTGAACTCTCAGGAAAGCTAGAAAAATTACCTTTGCTAGTTTTTTTATCTGCTGGAGGCGGTACTAACTCTGAGCCTTGCTATGGTGATAAAATCACCTTTGGATAGTCAGTGTGATACATCAAAAAAAAACCCACAGAGCTGGAAGTAAAGAGATCTTGGTTTAAAATCTCAGATTGGTCACTAAGTAGCTCAACTTTCTGAACCTCAGTTTCCCCAACTATAAAATGGAAGTTCAGCCAGATGATTTCCAAGAGCTTCCCAATTATAAGATTCTATTAGCCTTGTCCTCTAAGATGGGGAGCAGCAAGTGACTTCATTATATTTCATCCATTCATTGATGCAACAAACATTTATCCTGTCAAGTAATGAAAGGTGCTGAGGGAAACAAACCTTTTTTTTTTTTTGCCTTCACAGAGCTTGTAGTCTAAATAAGGAAAGAAGACAGCTAATTAAACACATAATACCAACAAAGTATGGTATTACAACAAAGTCCAAAGCCCTAAAAGATCATAAAGAGAACTTAGCCCAGCATAAGGTGTCATAGAATGCCTATTTAATAAGTGATATTTATGTTGAGCCCTAAAGAAAGAACAGAATTTAGCCAGAATCAGATGAGTATGTAACAAAGTGGGAACAGAAGACTGTCCCAAGCAATGGGCACAGCATGTGTGAAGGTCTGGAAGTAAGAGAGTGCCTGGTGTAAATAAACAACTAGAAGGAGTTCACTGCTGGAGCATAGAGATAGAGGGAGGCTTGCAAGGCCTAGACCATGCAGGGCTCACGAGCCATGTAAAAGAATTTGAACTTTATCCTAAGAGCAATGGGAAGCCATTCACTGAATTTTGGCACAGCTGTAACATGATCAGATTTGTAGTTTAGAAAACTCCTAACTGACTGAGCATTCACACTGCCATTGCAATTTGGAGAGTGGAATGAAACATTAAGAGTGAGAGGCAGAGAAAAAGACAGACACCATATATATACACACAGAGAGAGTCTACAGCTATCCTTTTCTCACTCTGAGACCTGAATTTCTTAAGTTTGAGAGTTGTTAACATGTGAATTAAACAGAACTCTGGGAAGCTGAGCATTGTGTTCTATCTCTTGTAGCACTAACACCTGAAAACTTCTCCCAACTTTCAAATTAGAATCAGCCAGATAATAACCATAGGACAAAGTCGGCAATAAGAAGAGAGGGAGAGAGAGAAAGAGAGAGAGAGAATGAATAAATGAATAACATGAATTGTATTGTGATTTCCAGGAGCGTCAAATCCTGCAAAGCATAGATGGGCACAGAAAGAGAAAATTGTTATGTTTTAATTTAGCTGGTTATAAGGGCTAGTCTTCAGAAGACCTGATTGAATTCCTGGAAATGCTGCTAAGTAGCTGCATGATTTGGAAAAATATTGAGCCTCAATTATCTTATCTGTTAAATGATAGAGTTAGACTAGATGACTCCCTAAAGTTTAGTATCCCACAAGCTTTGTAAAGCACAGAGATGATACCACTGATGACTAGACTGTCTCTATCTGCATATGTATCCCTCTACCTTTCGTTCTTCATTTTCCTATTTAGTAAAGTCAATAGTTTTAAAACATATAATGCCAAAGAATATGATATATGTTGTAATTTTATATCTCTCCTTCTGTCTTCTTGGGTTGTATTTTTCTGGTTTTTATGTCACTCTTCTTTGCCTTTGCCATACTGATTAAAACTTTTAATGCCCAAGTTCCCCACATGTATTTTATCCTATTTATTGTTTTTCCTTCTTACTGTTTCTTTTCCTTTCTCCCTTCTTCCATCATTTCATTTCCTCCTAGTTCTCACTCACCCATCCCCACTCCCCATCGCAGATTTCTACCATTTGATCTATGATGATCCCTGCAGACATTGTTTGGTGCTGTCACTAGTGTACTAAACAGAAGACAAAAATACAAAATGTACCTTACAGGCACACCTACTTATTTACTAGAATGCCATAGTGCCGTCTGAAATCATCCCATACAACCCATAGAGCCTTTATTGGCTATTTGCTTCTTTCTCTCTAACAGAGACTGTGAGGGTAGGCTTTAGTGGCATCTCGTCTCAGAATGTGCTTTGGCAGGGTCCAGCTACCAAATTACCTTCCATTCAATATGATAAGTAATTATTGAACACCTACTGTGTGCCCAGTAAGTTCCTTCAGGGACCCCTGGAGTCTCTAAACAATTCAGTCTAATCCTGCCACAGCAGTAACTAAACATTATTGCATAGACTGTTCTGAACATTAGGCTATGTTGAGAATACAGCCTGCAGATTTCATTCAACTCCTTTGGCTTGGAAATGAGGGTGGATTTTCAACAAAAGTGGGGAACTGAATTAGCCTGAGGCTTTAATTCAGTGCATATTCTCATTTAAACTTTGGAGTTACCTTGTGTGCATCAGAAGGGTAAAATACATTGCTTACCTTCAGCAGAATGTTCCTCTTGGGAGAGTCTTGGCATTTCCAAGATATCATTAAAGCCATAATCTGTCACTTTTAGTACAAAACACCCATCTACCACACAGTTCCAAGATTCAGCCTCCCATGAGCAAACTCTCTGTGGTGTAAGTACTTCATGCCCTGAAGATGACACAAACAGGATTTATCTAGCAAATTATTTAACTATTTTGTGCTTTTAGAACCATTTTCTGAGACTGATAATGGCATGTGCTATTATGATCCAGCCCTTTTTTTCTTATATACAGACAAGCAAAACATTGACAAGAATAATTTCCAGGTCCCTTTTATCTCTAAAAGTTTATGCTTGGATGAAGAGTCATATCTTGAGCATATAGATAATTGTGTGTTATTGGAAGATTTACTGCCATTCCAAACACAGGATGGTCTCCTACATATATAATTGCCAAGAATTTGAAGATTCTGATCTCCCCCAAAGACCTAGTCCAATTCTCATCCACTATTGGCAGGAATAGAAATTGGTGCAGCCTGCCCAGGCTGGTATGGCTCAGTGGATTCAGTGCTGGTCTGAGAACCAAAGGGTCACTGGTTCAATTCCCAGTTAGGACACATGCCTGGGTTGCAGGCTGGTTCCCCTGTGGGGGAGAGGGGGAGCTGCAAGAGGTAAACACACATTGATCTTTCTCTCGCTCCCTTTCTCCTTCCCTTCCCCTTTCTCTAAAAATAAATAAATAAAATCTTTTAAAAATTACAACAGGCTTTTGGGTGGGAAATGGTCAATAGCTCTCAAGATTGAAAGTATGCATGCCTTGTGACCTACAGATTCTATTTTTCCTCAAAAAATGCTTGCTCATCTGTACAAGAAGACATTATAAGAATATTATAGCTCTGCTTTGTAATATTGCATAATTGGAAATACAATAAATACCTTTCAAGAAGGGACCATCCAACCTTGGCTGTTGTGGCTCAGTGGATTGAGTGCTGGCCTGTGAACCAAAAGGCCACCAATTTGATTCCCAGTCACGGCACATGCCTGGGTTACAGATCAGGTCCCCAGTTGGTATCCCACATTCCTGGTATCTCTCACACATCAATGTTTCTCTGCCTCTCTTTCTCTTCCCCCCCTAAAAACAAATAAATAAAAACTTTAAAGAAAAGAAGGGACTGTACAAATTGTGGTCTATCTAAACTATGGAATGTTCTGCAGCAACTAAAAATAATAAGGTAGATGTATATGTACCAACAGAGAGACATTTCTAAGCTGTAAAGTAAGTAAAAAATACTAAGTTACAGATTATATAACAATGTGTATTTAAAAAAACAAACAAAATCTATAATGTATGCAAATACACATGAAATTAATTACAAGGCCAATTACCAAATCATTAACAGTGGATAACTTTGGGGGAGATATGGAGAAGAATAAGTAAATGTCAGTATTTTTATATAATTTGGTTTTTCAATTTAATACATTATTTTTGTAATTTAAAATAGACAGTAGGAAGAAGAAAGCTAAAGACTTCTGGTCAAGATGGAAGCATAGGTAGACATGCTTCACCTCCTCACACAACCATAGAAAGAATTACCACCAGATCTCAAAAACAAATAACACCCAGAACCATAAGAAAAAATGAGCTGTATGGAACTCTAACAACCAAGGATTTAAAGAAGCCACATTCATCCGGGTGGGTAGTAGGGGCAGAGTTATAGAGCCAGGGCAGAGAGGATATGGTGTGGCACAGAGAGGTGGCAGTGGTGGTGGTGGTTCAGCCAGTGGCAGAACAGATGGTCCCATATTCACATGTGGTAGAAAAAATTGGGACAGATACCTTGGGAACACACAATCCCAGCCCCAGGCCACACCACACAACTCAGGGTTTTAGTGCCAGGAAGATAAACTCCCATTACCTCTGGCTGTAAAAATGAATGGGAATCAGGGTGGTGGGAGAAACTGCCGGAGTTTCGCAGCTTAAAGGGCCAACATGGCTTAGAACATATGCAAACACCACAGCAATAGCTGGAAGGACACCAACCACATACGGGAGGTGGGTGAAGTGACTAGAAGTGGGACTAGTTCCCAGAAGGCCTCCAGAAGCCAGGTAGAAGTACTGACTCCTCTCTGAGCCTCCCACCCCCAACACACACACACACACACACACACACACACACACACACACACCTACAAAACAGTGAAGCAGTTGTCTCGCTCTGGCAATTACCTAAAGCCCCACCCCACACAATTTACACGTGCCTTTTCTACATAGGTCATGCTACTAAAACAGGGAGTAAAAGCAGCTCCACCTAATAAACAGAAACAAAAACAGGGAGGCTGCCAAATTGATGAGGCAAAGAAATATGGCACAAATGAAAGAACAGGAAAGAAAAACAAAAACAGAGAAAGAACTAAACAAAATGAAGATAGCCAAACTATCAGATGCAGAGTTCAAAATATTGGTGATCAGGATGCTCAGAGAACTCAATGAGTATGGCCACAAAATAAAGGAATAAATGAAAGTCACACTAAGTGAAATAAAGAGAAATATACAGGAACCAACAGTAAAAGGAATAAATGAAAGTCACACTAAGTGAAATAAAGAGAAATATACAGGAACCAACAGTGAAGGGAAGGAAGCTGGGGTTCAAATCAGTAATTTGGAAGAAAAGGAAGAAGTAAACATTCAACCAGAGCATAAAGAAGAAACAAGAATTCAAAATAAATGAGGAGAGGCTTAGGAACCCATGGGAAAAATTTAAAGGTACCAGCATTCAATCATTTGGGTGCCAGAAGAAGAAGAGGAAGAGCAAGAAATTGAAAATTTACTTGAAAGAATAATGAAAGAAAACTTCCCCAGTTTGGTGAAGGAAATAGACATACAAGTCCAGGAAGCTCAGAGAGTCCCAAACAAGTTGGACCCAAAGAGGGCCACACCAAGACACATCATAATTAAAATACCAAAGGTTAAAGATAGAGAATCTTAAAAGCAGAAAGAGAAAAGCAGAGAATTACCTACAAAGGAGTTGTAAGACTATCAGGTGATTTCTCAAAAGAAACTTTGCAGGCAAGAAGAGATTGCCAACAAGTGTACAGAGGGATGAAAAGCAAGGACCTATAACCAAGATTACTCTATCCAGCAAAGCTACCACTTAGAATGGAAGGGCAGATAAAGTGCTTCCCAGACAAGGTAAAGCTAAAGGAATTCATCATCAGCAAGCCATTATTACACAAAATGTTGAAGAGATTTATTTAAGAAAAAGAAGATCAAAACTATGAATATTAAAATGACAATAAACTCACAACTATCAACAACTGAATCTAAAAAACAAAACCAAACTAAGGAAACAACAAGAACAGGAACAGAATCATAGATCTGGAGATCATTTGGTAGGTTATGAATAGGAGGGAGGAAGATGCAGAGATTAAGAAGCATAATTGGTAGGTATAAACAGGGGGATGTTAAGAACAGTATAGGAAATGGAGAAGCCAAAGGACTTATATGCATGATCCATGGATATGAACTAAGGGAGGGGGATGGCTGGAAGGAAGGGGAGTACCAGGTGGAGAGGGGCAAAGAGAGAAAAATTGGGACAACTGTAATAGCATAATCAATAAAATATATTTAAAAAGTAAAAATAAGAAACTGAATACTACTGATCTCTACAGCTTGCTTGGCAACTTTGTATGACATTCATATATGATCTACCAGGACTCTATCAGATGGGTTTAATCATTCACATATACATGCATCCTATATTCTAGTATAATTATTTCAGAACTGTTTATGTCAAGACTTTTTAAGTGTCTGGCTCTATTTTGTAGCCTGACACCCCTTTTGTATTTGTATGCTTTATATCTTGTGCCTTCAAAAAGTCTGCACTCTCCAGTATTTCCTAGCAGAGCCCGCAGTGGGTAAGATTTTTCCTAGATTGTTTAATGCTTGGGTTTCATTCACCATGGGCCTGAGAGCACTGTTATTTGTAGGTTTCTCCCTTAACTCACATGACCTTGTTTACAAGGTAAGTGGAAAGAATACTAAAATAGAAATCAGGAGATTTGCATTCTATTGTCAACTCTGCCACCTAATATTTGGCTGATAAATATTTATTGAGCACCTACTATGTGTGTCAGACACTACATAACAAAGTATACCTCATTGAGCTTCTCTGAGCCTCTGTAAAAATAGGGTAATCACACTTATTTTATGGAGAATTGGAATGAGATAATGTCTATAAAACTAGCTTGAAAAAGGTTAGGTCATAATACAAAGGTCAAGACTATAATCAATAAGCAAGAAGCTCAACAAGTCATCGATTATCTAGATCAGGCTCATGAAAATGCACATAGACACAATTTGCATATTACTCCAGGGAGATCATAGAATCCTTGAGAAGTCCATCTATAGGTTTATCCATGAACCCCCTTGGCTGTCAATAGTCCTTGCCTCAGAGAGTGGATATACTGCCTGATAGACACAATGGTCTTTTGGCTTTCTAGTCTTGCTGAGTTCTGTATCTACACATATGGTATGCAAAAACCCATCACCTAGTTCTTGACTTAACCACCTTTTAGAAGGTGAGAGACAGGAGATGGGACTAATGAGCACCAAAAATCTGGAAATGGGCATTTTCCCACATCCAGAAAGCAGGGAAGTGGGATGGAAGAAAGGATTGCTGAAAGTGAAGAGTTCTCCATGCCAACAGGAAAGAAAAACAAATCTGGCCTTCAAATTGGGGGGCTAGACAGGGTAAGTACAACATTTCCATATTAGTACCTTATTACAGATATGGACAAGAGACTCAAAAGTGGTAGGAGCTGACCATAAGAATGAAGGTGGAGAAATGAGATCATCACAATGATCCAAGGAAAACAAAACATTTAAAACATTTAAGTTCTAATCTACAGGGAAAATCCAAGATTTTCTCAGTCTTTCCATTAACCTTGATGAGATCCAGCAGAAATGATGATTTAAATATCCAGTCTAGTTTCACATCCTCATTCATCAGTATGCCTTCAGGAACAAAATTCTGTCACAATGTCAAATATCCTTGAGTCATAGAAGAAGCCCAAGAAAGGGTTAATATTTTTGTGACACAGGTTCTTCATCTGGAGAGAGAGAGAGAGAGAGAGAGAGAGAGAGAGAGAGAGAGAGAGAGAGAGAGAGAGAGAGAGAGGGAGAGGGAGAGGGAGAGGGAGAGAGAGAGAGAGGGAGAGAGAGAGAGAGAGAGAGAGAGAGAGAGAGAGAGAGAGAGAGGGAGAGAGAGAGAGAGAGAGAGAGAGGAAAGTCACAGCTGTCCTCTCTCAACTGGGGACCAGAATTTAGGTCATATAACCTTGTCTTCACCTTTCTTATGATTTCTAATTGTGGTAAGCAGAATTTTGGCCCAGCGATCTCCAAACCCTAGTCTTACTCCTGTGATTGTGCTTTGTGGCCCAAGGGAGAGTATCAGCATCAGACTAATCTAATCACATGAAACTTTTAAATCAGAAGAGGAGAGAGAAACTCAAGGATTTCAAAGTGAGAGGACCCAAAGCTCCATTGTTGGCTTGAAGGAAGTAAGCTGCAAACTGAGGAATGTGGATATCCTTTAGAAGCTGGAAATGACTCTCAGATGATAGCCATCAAGGAAATGAGCATCTCAGTCCCACAACTGCATGGAACTAAATTCTACTGACAACCAGAATGAACCTAGAAGTGGTTTTCCTACAGAAACTCGGAATAAGAGCCCAATACAACTGACACCTTGACTTCATCCTTGAGTAATGCTTAAGTGGAAGACTCAGCTGAACCTACTTAGACTTCTGAACTACTAAACTGAGATAATAAATGGGTGCTGTCTTAAGCCACTAAGTTTGTGCTATTTCTTTTTATGGCACTAAGAGTTCTAGTCACCAATTCCACATTGTGTGTGTTTCAGGGGTGAGGGGCAGTCTCCAACACAACCAAGTAATTCTCTGACACAAGCTGGGAGTACAACAATTCAGCTTGATTCTGGTACTATCTACCTGGAGATAGAGTCAAATCCCACACGTTAAGGGCTCAGTCCTACTAGATTGTTCCATCCCACTTGAGACACCAGTTATAAGTCCAGGTCACCTGGGCTTCCTACCAACCAGTTATGCATTGGAGTTTTAATTAACCCCTCATTGGGTTTGATTAATTTGCTAGAGTAACTCATAGAACTCACAGAAACATTTTACTTCTCAGATTCCTGATTTCTTATAAAAGGATATACTTCAAGAACAGCCAGACAAAACAGATGCATAGTGTAAGTTATGGAGAAAAGGCACAGGATCTTCCATACCCTCTGCAAGCCATTCTGTCCAAATCTCCATGTGTTTACCAACCTGGTAGCTCTCCAAACACTGTCTTCTGGGGTTTTTATGGAGGCTTCATTACATAGGCATGATTTATTCCATTCACGACTGATTCAATCTCCAGCCCCTCTCCACTCCCGAAAGATCAGGGTGATAGGACTAAAAGTTCCAACCTCTCCTGGCAACCAGCTCTTATCCTTTGGTGCTTTCCCAGAGTCACCTCATTAACATAAGAAAAGGTACCTGTATCATTCTTATCATTTAGGAAATTTCAAGGACTTTAGGAGCCCTGTGCCAGAAATGGGGCAAAGGCCAAATATATATCTCTTACTAAAAATCACCACATCAAAACAGCCTGATACTGGCATAAAAACAGGCACATGGACCAATGGAACAGAACAGAGAGCCCAGATATAAACCCAAGTCTCTACAGTCAATTAATATTTGACAAAGGAGGCAGCAACATAAAATGCAGTAACAATAGCCTCTTCAACAAATGGTGTTGGGAGAACGGGACAGCTACATGCAAAAAAAAAAAAAAAAGAAACTTGAGCACCAACTTACACCATACACAAAAATAAATTCAAGGTGGATAAAAGATTTAAATATAAGTCATGATACCATTAAAGTCCTAGAGGAGAACATAGGCAGGAAAATCTCAGATATTTCATGCAGCAACATTTTTACTGCTATGTCCCCCAGAGCAAGAGACATAAAGGAAAGAATAAACAAATGGGATCTCATCAAAATAAAAAGCTTCTGCACAGCTAAAGAAAACAGTATTAAAATAAAGAGAACCAACCATATGGGAAAACATACTTGCCAATGATACCTCAGACAAGGGTTTAATATCCAAAATATGTAAAGAACTTACACGACTTCACTCTAAGAAGACAAACAACCCAATTAAAAAATGGGCAAAGGACTTAAACAGACACTTTTCCAAGGAGGACATACAGAGGATCCAGAGACACATGAAAAGATGCTCAATATCGCTAGCTGTCAGAGAGATGCAAATTAAAACCACAATGAGATACCACTTCACACCTGTCAGAATGGCCATCATAAACAAAGCAACAAACAACAAGTGTTGGAGAGGTTGTGGAGAAAAGGGGACCCTAGTGCACTGTTGGTGGGATTGCAGACTGGTACAACCACTATGGAAAAAATTATGGAATTTCCTCAGAAAACTAAAAATGGATTGCTCTTTGGCCCAGCAATTCCACTGCTAGGATTATATCCTAAGAACCCTGAAACACCAATCCAAAAGAACCTATGCACCCCAATGTTCATAGCAGCACAATTTACAATAGCCAAGTGTTGGAAGCAACCTAGGTGTCCATCAGGAAATGAATGGATTAAAAAACTATGGTACATTTGCATGATGGAATTCTATGCAGCAGAAAGAAAGAAGGAGCTCCTAACTTTTGCAACAGCATGGATGAAACTGGAAAACATTATGCTAAGTGAAATAAGCCAGGCAGTGAAAGACAAATACCATAAGATCTCACCTTTAACAGGAACCTAAACAACAAAACAAACAAACAAGCAAAATATAACCAAACACACTGAAATAGAGAACAGGCTGACAGTGACCAGAGGGGAGAGAGGAGGGAATTTCAGGGGAAAAGGGGAAGGGTTTACAAGAACAAGTATAAAAGACACATAGACAAAAACTAGTGGGGAGTGGAAATGGGAGGGAGATGGGGAGGGCTGGGGGGTGGGCTGGGAAGGGAGTAAAAGACAGAAAACTGTACTTGAACAACAATTAAAATAAAAAAAATAAGAAATTAAGAAAAAAACTATTTAAAAAGTCACCACATCATAGACAGTGATAGAAAAAGAATGCAATGGTCAAAGATGGAAATTTCAGAGATGGATATCTCTTAGCATATTGTAAGTTAATGCTGGAGCTGTGGCCTTCTTCCTTATTCTTTGGGTACTCTTTGAGGTGGAGCTCAGTGACCCAGGAGGACTAAGAAAAAGGTTAATACATTAAAAGGTAGAATAGGTTGCCTACAAAATTTGTTTCAGAGGAAATATCTAGAATTTTGACTATATTTTTCCTTTGCAACTATTAATTTTTTCACTAATGTAAGAAGTACTTAATATATGCCTGTAATATCCAAGACACTGGACTTTATGCTAGAGATGCAGAAACAAACAAAATAAAATCATATCCCAGCCTAAACCAGCTAAAGTAGTCATGAAAATTCAGCCCACACATAGCAAATTGGGCAACTTCTTCTAAGGTTTCAAAGTAGCAGCTCTTACGGACCAAGCAGCAAAAACTACTGGACTCTGAAACTCCATTGGAAGACACAATACAAGTGGTTATGTCAGAGACTGCTAGCAGTTCAATACAAATCCATTTCCTTCTCTTATTGAGAAAACAAGTAGTCCACATTTTCCAACCTACCTTGGAGCTAAGTGTAGTCATATGACTGAATTCTTAGCAATGGAATATGAGAGGAAGTGATAAGTGTTATGTCTATTCTAATGCTTTTAAGAAGTGAATATATACCTTCCTTCCATGTTATTTTCCCACTTCTTATAGATGAATGCAGATGATGACAAGGCCTTAGGAGATAGCAGAATCATAAGATGGTCATATCCTGGGGCCATGAATCACCATATTAGAAAGAGTCACCAGCGAATTAATAAAACCTACCTTATACCATTTTGGGATGAAAATTAAATTTCTGCTGTGTTTAAGACATTAAATATTTGGGGGTCATTTTGTTACAGCACCTAGGTTTACCCTAGTAGCCCTAGCATGAAATAATTTTAAGCCTAAATTTTCCCTAGATCTTTACAGTCATATATAATCAGCTATGACCAATAGAGAAAATTCTATACAGGAAACAGGTAGATACCTGCATGCAGTCATGTCCTGCTCATATTCTAGACAACCACAGGAAGCAGAGAATCCTTGGAGGACCTGCATTAGCCAGATGGTCATCCAAAACATTTACCAGGTAGGCATGTACTTCACCTCCATCATAATATCTCCCTAGCTAGTTACCATCAAAAGTTCAATAGTTGAATGTGCCCTTTCTCTCAATAATTTGTTAGTTCTATATCTCACATGAAACCTTAAAACATTTCAAATATCTTTTATGTACTCAATAATTTGTTAGTTCTATATCTCACATGAAACCTTAAAACATTTCAAATATCTTTTATGTCCAAGGAGGAGTCAAGATTTTTAATTATTTGGGAGGAATCATCATCATATCTGCCTTGTGTGCAAGCTGATTGCTTAAATAAACCATACAAGGATTCTTTTAACATAATTGGTGAGACAGGGGAAATCACCATTCTTCTTATATAAATAGAAATTACCAGATTATTTTTCTAGGTTTTGCAAATAGAGATTTTGAATGATTATGAGATATGTATTTAGTAACAATTATAATAGCTACTATTTTACAAAGAAGCTATATGTCAAGTCTCACCTATAAGTGGAACATAAGCAACAAAACAAACAAGCAAGCTCATTATAATCAGAGACATTGAAATAAAGAACAAACTGACAGCAACCAGAAGGGAGGGGGCAGGTAAATAATGGGGGAAAGAAGGGACAGGGTCATCAAAGAACATGTATAAAGGACACATGGACAAAGCCAAAGTGGGATAGGATTGAAGGTGGGAGGTGAGGGTGAGTGGGGTGGGGGTAAAGTGGTGGTGGGAAAATGGAGACAACTGTACTTGAACAATAATAAAAATGATTAAAAAATGAAATGTGCAACATGCTTTATATGTATTCTGTTTTAATCCTCATCCCAATCCTGAGAAGCAGACATTAATATATTTCTTTTACAAATAAGGAAAGTAGGCCTCAAGGAGTTTAGGTGACTTGCCGAAGTATATAACAGTTCTTAAGTGGTAGAGCTGCGAATGGAATGCTTCATGTCTCTTTCACTGCAGAGCCCATACTTTTACCATTGTATCATATGGTCATATCAAGCCAGTTGCAACTCTGCAGGTATTAAGGGGTCTTCCTAACTGCTTGTTATTTACTTTGGAGAAAGGATTGGTTTCAGTGGGAACGTACATAAAAGAGGGTTTCTCATACCATTTCAAATATATCACTTGCACTTGATTTGATGGAGTTACCATGTCCAAAATCTCCAGAGGGGAACTTTTTCAGTCACACCCAATCACCCTAAAAAGAAAACGTAGAGAATGGTGATGAGACCTAGTTGATTTAGAGCTACAGAGAAAATTTGTCTTCCACATGAAGGGTTTATAGTTAGGCCATCAACCCAAACAGGCTTTGTTCCTCCCCTCCCACCTTCCACCCCTTGGGCATTCTGTATTCTGAGCTAAAAATGGAGTCATACAAAGAAGTTAAAAATTGCAATTAACTAGAGACAGAAAAGCAATCAGAGGTATGTAGACCCCCAAAAAGGAATAATACCACTCTGCAACAACTCCCTTAACTAACTGCAGAAAGTGCTAGTTCATTTCACTTATTTATAGTAAATTGATGTAGCTCCAAGTTCCCTGTGATTAATGGTGATGGTTGGTGGTTGCAATTCTTGCTGCCTTGAGACATGTAGTGAAGCAAATGTTTCCTGCATTTACTATGATACATTTTTCTCTTGTGACATATGCCATTTTAGGGGCTTCTTGTGCTTTGATCATAAACTGATTGGCTTAACTATAGATTAAACATTTTTATTTGGATATATTACCATAATAATATGAGTAACCTAGACTCTTTCAGAAGTATATTTCTGACTTGTTAAGTACAAAACAGAAATTTCTACGGTTGCTGTTAAGTCAAAAATAACAATTATTTTATTGTCTTCACTTTAACACTGGGACCTGATAGATAATTTTCTTCTACATACATAGCTTCAAGGATTCATCAGTCACCAAACCCTATTTAGTTTCTGTCCAACCCAAATTTTAAAAAAGCAGTACAAATATAGATTCATTTCCCCAATAATAATAATAATAATAATAATAATAATTAATAATGTCTTACATTTTTGCACAGTGCTGTCTATTCTTCAAAGTGCTTTCACATCTATTACCTATAGCCAGGAGATTCCATTTCAGGCTGTACCAATTAATGATTAAGTAGAGATAATAAAGCAGAGAGCTCTGTGCAAATTCTGAGAAGAGAGAGTGTAACCATTCCCTTATTAAGGAATATATCCAGCTGTGATACTGCATCTGGAGACCTGTGAGAGACAAAGGCTAACAATGGGCTTCAGGCATCTGAGTTACTTGCCCACACTTTGTGTTAAAGGGCATCTTCTAGTCAAGGAGCTCAAAACTCTTTAAACTATGGAATGGCTCTTAGAGGCCTTTAGCAGATGAATAAAACTGTGCCAGCCAGGTTCAATGCCTAGGGTTCAGAAAGATAGCCCAGGATCAGTACATGGCAGCAGCATAATAGTCAAAGCACCAAAGGCAGCCTTCCCAGTCTTGTGCCCAGGAATTCAAGTGTGGCCCTGGTCCAGCTACATCATAGTCATTTGGGAACTGGTTAGAAAGGCCAATTGTGAGGCTCCACTTCACAATTACTTAATCATAGAAGTCATGAGGGCCTGGCATGAGCTTGAAGTTTTAGCCTTCTAAGGCTTTAGAGGGATGAAAGCTTAAGGTGAAATAATAAACTCTAACTGGGAATTCACAAACTCAGCCAATGTGTGGGATATGCCAGTGGGTAATAAGGCCTTTCCAGCACCTTTAAAACTATATTACTTAGCCCATGGTCACTCCTAGCCACTATGGTACCTTTGTGCTAATTAGAAAAGGATGATTCCCTCAAGTAAAAAGTTATGTTAGTCTGTGGTAGCCCTGTGATGTTGGGTAGCAACTGCATCTATAAACATACATGCATATACCACACTCTTATTTACTCATATGTCTTCCACACACCAGGGAACACCTTCCATTAGCAGTATGAATACTCTGCATACCATCAAGCCCTGCCTGCCAGATGAGGCCTTTTTGTCAGGTTTGGAGTCAGGCTGTAGAGGTGTGGTTGAGAAGCTGAAATTGTGTCTCCAAGAATATTAGGCAGGAAAAAAGAGTAACCTCAAGAAACTCATGAGGCACAGTCAAGATAACACATAGCCAGGTGCACATATATTTACCAGTGACTATGTATGTGCATGGTCTGGTGTGCTGGTATAAATGTAGGTATGAGAAGGTACCCCTGATACCTCATTTCAGAACTATGTTGGAAGGCCAGAATCTCTTTGTCCACACCTTCATCCCTCTCGTATAAGTTAGTGTATGTCTACAATGTGAATAGTACCATCTGAGATGTAGTGTCCTCATATAGGGCACAACCTGAATGGCATACTGGTAGCCCTGACTCTGCCTATACCTAGTACCTGATACCTTTTTTGTGGAGTCAGCCTTATTTCTGACATGGGTTAGCCTTCACTATGGCTTATTGACCTTTATAGGTAGTTAAGCAGAGCTGTTTTTCTCCTGCAAATTCATTAAATTTGAGAGCTAGAAAGGGTCTTAGGTATCCCTAGGATAATCCTTTCATATCATGATAAAGAAACTGAATCCCAAAGAGATTAAAAGATTTTCCCAAGGTCAGAAAGCTAGGCAGTAATAGAACCAAGGTCTTCCATTTCTCACTTTGTTTCTTTTTCTTTTAACATCAATGTGTGGTTGCCTTTCACGAATCCCCACTGGGGACCTGACCCACAACTCACTGACTGGGAATCCAGCCGGTGACCCTTTCTTTCGTAGGCCAGCACTCAATCCACTGAGCCACACCAGCCAGGGCTCACTTTGTTGCTTTGTTCATGGGCTTTCTTTGATTTGGGGGATGTGTGTATGTGTGTGTTTTAAGATTTTGATAACTCTCACAAACTTTATAAGAAAAATTTTATTGAGTCTGTGTGTGTCCTACCTCATGAACAATGAAGAAAAAGAAGAAAAAGGGTAGGTTTTATCTTTACCACACATGCACTATTTGTTTTGTTTTGTTTTAAGAGAAAGAATGATAAAATACTTCACTCATCATTCACTTTTTAATTAAAAGGAAGAAACATCAAACTCTATCCACTAAAGTTTTTTTAATATTTTTTATTGATTATGCTATTAGTTTTCCCAATTTTCCCTCCCTATTCCCCCTCTGCCCTTCCCCCGCAACCCTCCAGCATTCCCCCTACTAGTTCATGTCCATGGATTGTACATGTAAGTTCTTTGAATCCTCTGTTTCCCATATCATTTTTTATCTTTCCCCATCTACCTTATGCCTACTAACCATGCTTCTTCTTCCCCGTACCTTCCCCCCATTATTCTCTTCCCCCTCCTCACTGAAATCCCTCCCTGTGATGTCAGTTTCTCTGATTCTGTTCCTGTCCTGGTTGTTTGCTTAGTTTTTGTTTTCATTGTTTTTCTTTTCTTTTAGGTTCATTTGTTGATAGTTGTGTGTTTGTTGTCATTTTACTGCTCATATTTTTTATCTTCTTTTTCTTAGATAAGTCCCTTTAGCATTTCACATAATAATGTCTGGGTGATGATGAACTCCTTGAACTTGACCTTATCTGGCGAGCACTTTATCTGCCCTTCCATTCTAAATGATAGCTTTGCTGGATAGAGTAATCTTGGATGTAGGTTCTTGCCTTTCATGACTTCAAATACTTCTTTCCACCCCCTTCTTGCCTGCAAAATTTCTTTTGAGAAATCAACTGCCAGTCTTATGGGAACTCCTTTGTAGGTAACTCTCTCCTTTCCTCTTGCTTCTTTTAGGATTCTCTCTTTATATTTATTCTTGGGTAACTTAATGATGATGTGCCTTAGTGTGTTCCTCTTTGGCTCCAACTTCTTTGGGACTCTCTGGGCTTCCTGGACTTCCTGGAAGTCTAGTTCCTTTGCCAGATTAGGGAAGATTTCCTTTGTTATTTGTTCAAATAAGTTTTCAATTTCTTGCTGTTGTTCTTCTATTTCTGGCACTCTTATAATTCAGATACTGGAACGTTTCAGGTTGTCCCAGAGGTTTGTAAGAGTCTCTTCACTTTTTTGAATTCTTGTTTCTTCATTTTGATGGATGTTTACTTTTTTCCTTTTGTTCCAAATCATTGTTTTGAGTTCTGGTTTCCTTCCTGTCCCTGTTGGTTCCCTGAATGTTTTGCTTTATTTCACTTTGGGTATCCTCCCTTTGTTTTGTTTTGTTTTGTTTTGTTTTGTTTTGTTTTGTTTTTTTCATTTTTTGACCAAGCTCAATCAGATCTGTGAGCATTTTGATTACCAGGACTTTAAATTCTCCATCAGATAGATTGACAATCTCCTCCTTGCTTAGCTCTCTTTCTGAGGCTTTACTCTGTTCTTTCATTTGGGCCACATTTCTTTGTTGTGGCATACTGATAAGCTGTAAGGGGGTGGGGCCTTAGGTATTCACCCAGGCAGGGCAACCATCTTTGCAGTGCTGTGGTGCTGCCTCTGAGAGAGGGCCCAGACAGGGAACAATGTAGCTTGCCTGCTGGTCTCTAGCACACTTTTCAAGGGACTCTCGTGGGAGACTGGGAGCTTCTGCTGCTACCGCAACCACTGTAGCCCACAGCCACCTCTGAGTCTCTTTAAGTCAGCCCGTCCCTCGCAGCCCACTGAAGGGGCAGCCAGCGCCGCCCCCAAGGTCTGCAGCATCTCTGCAGTTTTTCTGAGTCAGCCCATGTGGTTCACCGCCTTACAGGTCTGGTTGTTCTGGTTGATATTTTTTTTTATTATTCCTTTGCTGTCAGAGTTCCATGCAGTTTGATTTTCTGGCACTTTTGGTTGTTTATTGATTTCAGATTTGTTGTTATCCTCCTTTTGGTTGTGCAAGGAAGCAAAGAGTCTTTACTTATACCCCCATCTTGGCCGGAACTCTATCCACTAAAATTTTTAGAAGTAATTTAAACTCCATTAGTTTTGCACTAAGGCCATGGTGTATCAGTAAGCTTCAGTTTCCTCACTGATGTGGCTAGACCACTTAGATGATGTATTAGGTCTTTTTCATCTTTGATGATCAGAGATGTTTGGTGGATAGGAGAGGGGTGGGAAGAAAGCTATAAGGAATATAGAAAAAGGTGGAAAGAGAGAAAAAAGGATCTGGGAAATTAAGATGAATGTGGAGGGCATGCAGGGAGAGAAATGAAACAGAGCAGAACAAAGAGATGTCTTGAGAGGTAGGTGAGGTGAGAGAATGGAGAGGGATGATAATTTCAGTGGGTTCTCCCTCTGTGTACCAGAGTTGTACTACTGCCCATCTCACCCTTCTCACCTAGACTGTGATTACTAGAGCAGACATTGACATGCCCTACTACATCTGCCATTGACAATTCTTTTTCCCAGAGGCCTACTCACCTTGCTTTCTTTTAACACCTCCAAGAATATCTATGAAATAAGGGCTGGTTTTATATGTAGTTCTAAAGGGTATGCATCTGTGTGTACAATCAAAGTGTGAATTTATGTCAGCATAGTACAATGTTATGGCACATCTTTTGAGAATCCTGTCATTTCCTATTACTCTGGGCACATTTCCTAGAACTTCCAGATCTTCCGATAGCAATTCTCATGAAAATTTGATTAATTTTAAACAAAAACTAGATATTGAAACTTTTTTAAAGATTGTATTTATTTATTTTTTTAGAGAGGGGAAGGGAGGGAGAAAGAAAGGGAGAGAAACATGTGTGGTTGCCTCTCAAGCGCCACCTACTAGGGACCTGGCCAGCAACCCAGGTATGTGCCCCAGACTGGTAATCAAACCGGCAACCCTTTGATCCACAGGCCAGCATTCAACCACTGAGCCACACCAGCCAGGGAAAACCTTTTTCAAAATACCCCTAAAAGAGAACTATTTTAAAAGGCAAATTAGGCCTCATTGTTTGATATGTTGATTCACTTAACTTAGGCTCCCTCCCAGAGTCCTCTTCAGCCACAGCCAGGCAGTTTTCTAGTTCTAGCTGTCTTTTTTTTCACCCCACCATCAGCCTAATGTTGACTTCATTGTGTGGTATTATTCTTACTAACATACTCCTTTTATACAGATAAAGGCCCCCTTTGGCCTACACAGTTCAGAAATATTCACTATCTGACTGGCCAGCAGTCATTATGAGAACTAACTGAATTCTCTGCCTCTGTCCCAAATGAAGATATATCTGACAGATTCTTAAAGGACAGTTACATGCAAATGTTTATTTTTTTCTTATAATTCTACACTGTAATCTTCCCACTCCACCAAATAAAACATACCACAATTCAACACATAGATTATTCCATAGAATCAGAGAATCATGACATATCCTAGCCATAGAAGGCTTTTAGATGTGTCTTAATCCAGCAATTCTCAACCCTAGCTGCACATATAAGGGAACTTTTAAATACTGCCAATGCCTAGGCCCACCCCCTACCAAATAAATCAAAGTTACTAGGGGTGAAGGCAGGGCATAGGTATTTTTTAAAGTTTCCTATGGAGATTCTAGTAAGCAACCAAGATTCAGTTCAACCCCTAATTTTATAGATGAAAAACAAAGAGATTTCCTTAAGTAATTGAGATTTACTTCAGAATATTAGAGATGTCAATATATGTATAAAACCATCAGCCCATACCATCTGACATCCAAAAGCTATGTGACTATCTTATCTTTAGTCTTTGACACAGTAGAACTGTCAATTCCCCAACATCTCAAGTTTACACTTAAAGCAAATTAAGCTCAAGGTGAGATCCAGAGGTTTTCTGCCACAAATTTAAGTCAAATCACTGAGCTACACTGAGCAAATGTATACCATGCCAATTTTGGTGCTTTAAGCCCCTGTCAATTATTTATCCACTGGATGACAGCATTCACTTGGAAAACCCAGTGTGGTAGAGAATTAAATAACCCATTCGGTCTTGTTTTGGACTTTCTTTGCAGTTACTATGGAATTTGACAGTGTTTGATGCTTTTGAGAGTATCTTCAAACAAAACAAGGAAACCATACTGGGATGGCCTCACTTAAAAGGGACAGAAAGGCAGTCTAGTTTCCTTTGTATCCCCTGCTTAACTCTTTCCTCCTAAGAAGAAACAATTCATCTCTCCAACTGATACAAGATTTGTTCTGGTTGCCAAATTCCAGTATCTTAGAACAAGGGGTCAGAGGTGGCCTCTTAAAGTTTGAAAGACAGAAACTTAAGTAAAATAAAAAGATTTCTATTTTACACAGAAGAAGGTAACCTGTTACTATAAGAGTCAGTGCAAGTTAAAAACTAAATGAATTAATAATTTTAAAAAGTACTATTTCAATGATATCATAAGATAACACGTATAAAAAGAACAACTAGCATTTGAAAAGAAGGATTCACCTAAACTCTACTCTACCCAAACATTTATCTAGACATCCTGTCACAAAGTTGACTTAAAAAGTCATTTCTTCTATTATTACATCTATATCTTTTGGAAGGAGTGATATGATTAAGTGTTGGGGTCTCACAGCTTTTTCTACATGCATAGTAAATAATGGAGTTGAAAACTCAATGAAGTTATAAGTAAGTAGATTAGTTTAGTTGCTGAGGATAATCACTGTCAAAAATGTCAACCAAACAAGTCTATAAGGGAATAACAGAAAAAAACCTGAGAAGACTTACCAAAAGTCTCAATATTTTTAGCCCACAGACTAAATCCTAAATCACTGCTTCATTTTAAAACACAAGGAGGCAACAGATTAGAAAGCAGATTATCCTACCTCCTAAATTGTTATGTTGGAGTTTCCATAAGTAGCTGGAGTTAGACACCCTGAAGAAAATGAGAGCCTTAGGGACCTCCCACTTTGGACCCCTGAGGTAATCTGGAAGCTTACAATGGCATGACTTCCTCCCTGTGAGTATATTAGGAAAATAATTATAAACAAAATTCTCATGATTTAGGACAGAATACTGAGCTATGGTATAGATACTGTGTTTACCTGTTTTCCTTCTTTTGTATTCCAAAAAAAGTAACCATATGAATTAAATTCTGTAAACATGAGGTTGATTCATTTTCCCTATTCCCAGTACTTTTTTTAGGCCAGGATTTGTACCATGGTTTACCTCTTTATACCACAAAAGAAAGGTAAATACTTGCAGGTATTTCCATGTCCTAGAGAGGATTAGAATCATAGATTTGGAAGGGCAAAAAAAGAACACTAGCCATAATTTAATCTGAGACCCTCATTTATAGACAAAAATGAGAAAAAGATAAATAACTAGCATTTTGAAGGAAATCAATTGCAGAACTAGGACAGAATCCCACCCTTCTGTCCTTCAGGGCTGGCCTTTTTTTTTTTTAATACAATCTTCAATGGCATCCTTCTTTGTGCAGGTAAGATCAATGGCAGAAGGTATCCCATAAAGCACTAAAATGATAGAGAGTTAGTAAATCATCTCCCTATGATTTATGAGTCTAATGCTTTAAAAGGTCAAATTCCCTCTTGCTTGATTTGTTAACATGTACACTTAAGTTTGGCAGCAGAGGGCTAGGAAGTGCACAGTTGAATGACAAAAGGAAGAGTTATCTGCAATCTATGTAAACCTTTAAAATTAATTAATTTTATCTTCAACTGAACCTGAAGACTTATTTCACATGAAGAAATAATAAATCAACAGGTTCCTCATATTTTTCTCCATGTCTCCAAATATGTCTCTTTTAGAGTTATAGCAATTCAGAGTTAGTAGTTACATTTGATACTATCTAGGCCAGCTCCCACCTGCAACTCTAACACCCTCCTTTTATAATGAGGAAACAGACACCTAGAGAGGGATGTAGGTACTGGAAGAAGAATGTAGATGTTACATTTGCTGTCCTTGTGTTCTTTCTATCACATCATGCTTTGCTTCAGTCTTATTTGCCAAACAAATTTAATTTTAAGTTCTTTTACACATTCTGACCTTAATGGTCTTTGATAAACTGAAGATCACTACTTGCTTTAGACTTATATTAATTTTACCAAGATAACATATAACAAAACCAAGGCAATAGTAAACTATACCTATTCCCCTTATGTGTTGAAATCCCAACAGCTCAAGATTCAGACAAGATGTAAAACTTGACTCTTCACTCTTTCATCAGAGCAAGGGCAGAGAGGAATCCCTTCATTATTAATTCTTCCCTTTCATTATTTATTTTCTTACTTCAGTAGGAGTACCTAGATGTGTACATTCAGATATAGGCCTCTCAATTAAGGGCAAAGGAGAAAGCAAGAGAATCTGCCAAAATTCATAAACATTTGATCTTCAGCTTCACTTTCCTCTAAAAACTTCCTTTCCTGACCTGACTTCTACAAACCTGCTAATTTTTCTGGACTGAATTAATTCTATATTCACAAAGAGTTTATACTTTCAGACATTCAATTTGCATGGAATTCTTGGCTTTGCTTCTTGACTGATTAGACACAGCCAGCTACAAGTTTGTGACTGCACAGGCCCCTTTCTTTTCCCTTCAGGATGTGTGATACAAGGTAAGTGCCAAAAAATCTGGAGGCCAAGAGTTATGTTCTCCTAGGACAATGCCATCCTTTTCAATCTGGGCCAAAATAGTAAAAATAAAAATAAAAAGAACATTCTTTATAAGAGTATTAATCTCTGGTGCTATTAATTTTTCTCACTCATATGGTAAAGAATGGTGATTGCTTTTTTTCTCTCATTATGTCAAAATATAAGCACATGGTCTGTCATAATGAAAGAAAAGGTCTGTCATAATGAACAGCATTTTAAAATCCCAGGCACTTTGTTCATCTGAAGAAAGTACAATTCTGCTATTTATAGTGATCTAGTGAGAACTGTATGGAACCCAGATATATTTTGTACCTCAGTAGGAAAGTGAGAAGGTATAGGTGGAGGTTTTATAGATATTACTGGACTATTGCAAGGCCTGTAGAAAGAAAAGGCTAATTCAGTCCAAAATTGAGCAATGTTTATTATTTGGGTAATGTAGAGCCAAAACACTTAGTCAACAGATATGAACTGTCATTCTGACATGGATACCACCAAAGAAGCAAGGCTTTAAAAAATAGATTTATTGGCTTCCAGCCAAGATGGAGGCATAGGTAGACTTGCCACTCTCTCAGAAGAGTCCATTTAAAGATCCCACAGGGTCATAGAATCCAGCCACTCTTGGAATCAGCACCAGGGCAGCAACTGGAAGGATGCCAGACACTTATAGGAAGTGGGGAAGTGATTGGAAATGGGCAAGAACCAAGCAAGCAGCATTATTCCTTCTCTTACCCCTCCCCCACACACAGTGCCACAAAGTGGCCAAGTGGGTTGTACTTCCCTGGTGAATACCTAAGACTCTTCCCCTTACAATGTAACAGGTACACTGACAGGGGAGCCAAAACAGCTCCACTTAATATACAAAAACACAGGGAGACTGCCAGATTGAGGAGACAAAGAAATAAGGCCCAAATTATAGAACAGAGCAAAACATCAGAAAAAGAACTAAATGAAATGGAGATAGCAAACCTATCACATTCAGAGTTAAAAACACTGGTTATAAGGGTGCTCAAAGAACTCACTGAGTATGGAAATAGGATAAAAAAGACTCAGGGAGAAATAAAGGTTACCTTAAGTGAAATAAATAAAAGTCTACAGGGACCCAAACAGTAGAGGAGAAGTCAAGATTCAAATCAATGCTTTGGAACATAAGGAAGAAAAAAAGCATTCAAGCAGAACGGCAAGAAGAAAAAATAATTTTTAAAAAACTGAGGATAGTCTAAGGAGCCTATGGGACATTTCCAAACATACAAACATCCAAATCATGGGGATGCCAGAATAAGAGGAAAAGCAAGAAACTGGAAACTTGTTTGAAAAAATAATAATAGAAAACTTCCTTAATTTGGTGAAGGACAGACATGTAAGTCCAGGAAGCACAGAGAGTCCCAAACAAGTTGAACCCAAAGAGGACCACACCAAGACACATCATAACTAAAATTCCAAAGGTTAAAGATCAAGAGAAAATCTTAAAGGCAGCAAGAGAAAAGCAGAGCATTACCTACAAAGGAGTTCCCATAAGAGCATCAATTGATTTCTCAAAAGAAATTTTGCAGCCTACAAGGGACTGGCAAGAAGTATTCAAAGTGATAAAAAACAAGGTCCTACAACCTAGATTACTCTATCCAGCAAAGCTATCATTTAGAATGGAAGTACAGATAAAGTGCTTCCCAGACAAGGTAAAACTAAAAGATTTCATCATCACCAAGCCCTTGTTGTATGAAATGTTGAAGGGACTTATCTAAGGAAAAGATCAAAACTATGAACAGTAAAATGACAACCAACTCACAACTATCAACAATAGAATCTAAATAAAGAAAGGCAAACTGGGCAAGCAACTAGAACAGAAGCAGAGTAATAGAGATGAAGATCACACAGAGAGTTGTCAGTGGGGAGGGAGAGGAGAATGGGGGAAAAGGTACAGGGAATAAGAAGCATAGTTGGTGGGTACAGAATAGACAGAGGGTATTAAGAACAGTATGGAAAGTGGAAAAGCTAAAGAACTCATGTGTACGACCCATGGACATGAATTAAGGGGGGGATTGCTGGAGGAAATGGGGGTACCAGGTGGAGGGGTGAGGCAGCCACTGGCCAGCAGTGACCACAAATGCTGCTGCTGCTCGTGATATGAGAAAACATATACATGGACTAGCGAGTCCTGTGGAGGAATAGTAATGGCATGGCCACTCTCTCTAGTGGAGAGCACCCCATTTTCCCACCCGAGCAGGCTTTTATTAAGAATATAGATACAGTTTGTGGATTATAGTCTGGCAGGGAAGATCAAATGAATAGGTAGCTTTCAAAGGGGCTGGAAGAACTCATGCTGGGATTCTGGGCTGAGATTTTGGGGTTTCATCACTTAAAAAGACTACAGGACCTGAAAGGCTAGTTCTGTGTCCTGCCCATGCCTTCATATTCTAATTCAAGAGCATCCTCCAGCAAGCAGGTCTCACATGATCTTGCATATTCTATGTCCCAGGTCTGATTACCCTAAGAGTCCCCCAACTCTGGTCTGGACTGCACCACCCCTGTTATTTCTGCAGGCCTGAGTCGGGCAGAGGAGACAAAGGCAGCTGGGAGACTTGGATTTCTTACAGCTAGAACAAGGACTCAGGCTTTGTCAAAGCCGAGGGGGCAGGGGTCAATGTCCATCACCCCTTCATTTCCACAGCCCCCTGAGTCTCTTCCCTGAGGGCTTTCCCACATGATTGCGTCTGTCTTAGATTCATCCTCGTTTTAGAGAATTGTTAACCATCATTGACTGCCGATCATACAATGGGAGCTGGCACAGAACAGGCAGTGTTCATGCCAGGGAAATAAGTTTTGTCTCCTTAGTGTCTCCTGGTTCAGAGGTCTCTTACTCAGCCTGAGCCGTGGGGGGTTACAGCTTCCTGAGACTAGGCAGGACAGATCCCAATGGAAGGGGACAAAGTAGAGAAAATGGGACAATTCTAATAACATAATCAATAAAATATACTTAAAATAGATATATTACAAAAATAGGTTTATTGCTTTTGATAAAAACTATACTCTACATTGCTACTTATACAAAATAACTCATAGCCATCTGCTTCTATTACTAATCATCCATTTCTGGATAAAAATATTATCACAGCATTGAATACTTGTTTTTTTTAGTATCACATTATATATTGAGATTGCTTTAGAGCTTGCACTTCAGTATCTACCCTTTCTAATTGTGGTGGGAAATTTCATACAAGGCATATTCAGTGTGGCAAATCCAGACAAATTCCACCACCTCAGGTGGCTTCACAAATAAAGGCTGTCATCAATACATTTTTATGACATGAGGGCAGAATACAGCTTTAAGTCAGAGTAATAATTTTAGCATTCAACAATACATTTCCAGGAACATATCAACCTTTCAGCAGGATCTGATGATTTAAACAAGTAAGAGTTAGTGTTGTAATTAAAATTAAATCAAACAGCTGAACATTTTATTTGATTCCAACTGCTTAGACTATTACCCTGCAAATCCATTCTCACCCAGCCAACTAATTAAAGTACACATTACAGTGTCATATTTAGGCAAATGATCAGTTTGGTCACATAGATAATTAATTCTCAGATCTTGTACATGGGTGTAGCAAAAGTAAATAGCACATAGGAGTAATATGACATGTTTGCATCCTCTCCCTACCTCTTGCCAACACAATACTAGAATTTGCAAAGACTAAGGTCTTTATTTTGGCTATATACAGGGCACAGAAAGGCACACTCTTCCATTGCCCCCTATATTTGACAAACTATTCTCCACACACTATCTTTTCCAAGCTTTGTTTATACTGTTTTCTCTGCTTAGGATGCCTATAGAGGCCAGATGGGTACTGTAAATTGATGAAATAGGCTGAGCATAAAGCAATAGAGAGTGTTGGGAACTGTCAAACTGCATAAAGCATGGCCTTTCCAAAAAGAGTACCTACTACCAAGTTCCAATTAATTGTCACAATGATACCCAAGGTTGATAGATCATCCAACCTTATAAAAATCACTCAGAAATCCAGGTTCTTATGTGTAATCTCACAATTTCAAAAATCTGGCTACTGATTTTTGTAACCATAAGGGATGAACAAAAGTGATTACAAGTTTCAGACCCATGATCTAGAAAAATCTTATCCTTCCTTCTTTAAGACATAGCTTCAGTGCTGGGTCTCTGAAAAGCCTTTCTACACTTACCTGTTTCCTCTGAACTTCTACCATATTTATACTGTCTTTTGTTTAATAGGGTTTCTATCAACTTTTTTGTGTAGCATGATTTGCTTCTCTGACTTGACTATAATCTCCTTTAAGACAGGGACTTTATGCCATCTCTAGCACAGGGCCAGTACATAGTAGCAGGTACTCAATAAAGATAGCCAATTACAACACAGTCACAATCAGAACAGAACCCCTGGGGAGGCTCAACTCTCTTTCAGCAGTTGATTCAATCACAAAACTTTTACAAGCATTTACTATACTATCAGCACCATGTCAAGTCTTTGGGCTAACATTAAAAAAAAAAAACAACAGATGTACCATTGACCTTGTGGAACTAGCAATCAAGTGTTGAGTCCAAATGCACAAAAAAGGGATATATGAATTCAAAACTACACTATAGCTCAAAGTGTACTACATCACTTATACATAACTGTCCTAAAATGACACTGTCCAATAGAAATATAACATGAGCCACCTATTTAATTTTAAGTTTTCTAGTAGGTATATTACAAAAACATGAGAAAAAAAAAGGTGAGATTACTTTTAACAATACACTTTAACCCAATAGATCCAAAGTACTATCATTTTAAGATGTAATTAATATATTTTTAAAATTTAATGAGATATTTTACATGTTTTTGTAGTCTTCGAAATCCAGTGTGTATTTTAGTCTTACAGTACACCTCAATTCAGACTAGCCACATGTCAAGTGCTCAGTAGTCACTAGTGGCTTGTGGATGCCATATTGGACAGTTCAGCAAAAAAAGGGAAGCTCCTTACTTTACTGCCAAAATGAGGCTTGATAAATGTCACATCCTCCAAAGTCAGTAGAATTCTGTTCAGCCCTTTAGTCAGCTGGATTTTATTTATATGATGGCTAAAACAGGAATAATATCAGGGGGTCATGGAGGGTTTCATGTTTTTCAAACCCAGGGTACATTTGTCCTATGATAGAAGTTTAAGAATACACAAGATAATTGAGGAAATAACCACACCTGGATCTTTACTGTAGTACCTACAGCAAAGAGAGGCAGGAACTCTGGTCCTCACAACTTGCAGAATTACAAAGACCAAAAGAGAAAAATGAAAATGCTATTGAAGAGACATCAAAGGAAGGGATAAAGGTGTTGCATAGGGATGGTATCTGAGACCAAAAAAGTGGTGTTCCCATCACAAGGGCATATTCCAAAACATCACCTCTAAATACTTTTAAAGAACTCAACACCTTTTCTCACATGCTATATTGTATATTCTAATAATACCAGGGCTAAGAATCATTAATCTCCATTATACAGACATAAAACTACATTAAAGATAAAAACAAAATCAAGCAAATTGTGTGAGATCCCCTGGCCTGAGGCAGAGCTGGAACTCAAATCCTTGGTCTCTGGCTGTGGGCCCAGATTTCTGCCCACGAGACCACTTGTCTTGCAAAGTTGCATATATACATTGCCAAAGCAGCAGTTTGAAAAGTGAAAAAATTCAATCAGTTGGTTGTTTTCTCTACATGATGCCAAACAACTGGGCAGACTGGGTTTTGTTTTGTTCTTTTACTGAATTGGTCTCTTGTCTCAGAATTACATAGACCCAGTTTAAACCTGATTCTCTCCAAGTGCCCATTAATTTGCAGTAAATGTAATTATTTCTTACAAATCTGCTACTAGACACATATGAGTTTATGATCTCTAACCACATAGCCAAGTAGGTCATTTCAGTTGAGCTGATGGGTCAATTTGAGGACTCGGAGAGAATCTTGGATCAGTTCACATGGTTGTTTTGTTCTGTTTTGTCTTGTGGGTCTGACAGCTACAGTTTGACTTACTTTTTCCATAACCCTTAATGGTCACCCTATGGAATATACTAAAGCTGAGTTTCAGAGTGGGGAAAACAACCACTGAATCAAAGTATTTTATCAAGTTGCTTTAAGAAATATACAATGTCACTGAAGTTTGTTTTGTTTTGTTTTTCAGAGAAAGGGGAAGGGAGGGAGAAAGAGAAGGAGAGGAACATCAATGTGCAGTTGCCTCTCGCGTGCCCCACACCAGGGACTTGGCCCACAACCCAGTCATGTGCCCTGACAGGGAATTGAACCAGAGACCCTTTGGTTCACAGGCCAGGAGTCAACCCACTGAGCCACACCAGGCAGGGCCAATGTCACTGCAGTTTTAAATACCTGCAACCCAGTCAGTTTTTCTCAGTGATTCCACTGGTTTGTAAATACACAATATGTTTCTAATCGTCTGCCAACAAATATGTCTGTTATCACTGTGGGAGCTGCCACACTGCAGAGAACATTAAAAGAGCCCTGTAGTGAATTTTTGGGTAGACCCCATGAATCTTTTGGCAAAATAAATCATCACTCCCTAACGTATTTGTTTCATGTGTGTAGTGAATTGTCTTAAAGCAAACACACCTGTCAAAATAATCATGCTACAGAATACATACAAGCAGAAAAGGAACTGGACTCCCAATCCAAAGACCTATTCAGATTCTGTCATTAATTAGCCATATGAACTTGGATAAAAAATTTAACCTCTTCCTGCCCCAGTGTCCTCATCTATTTAGCGAGATAATTGTCCTTGCATTATCTGCTTTTATATAGTTATTTTGAAAATCAAATTAAATAATGCATGTGAAAGTACTTTGAAAAGCAAGAAGCACTATGAAAGTATAAGGGCTCATTTTATCATTATGATCATTAGTATTATGAAGCACAAGAGAGCCTTATGGAAAGGAGAGGCAATCTGTTTCAGATGAGGAAAAAGGAGGAGTTCAAAGAATCCTTTGTTTTGGGGTGGTTGGGTTCTTTGGATATCTTTCTTTCTGAAAAAGACTTAAACAAACAAAACACAGCAAATGAAGGAACAGAGAATCACTCTACTGCACGTAATCACCATCTATTACAGAAACTCATCAGCCACTCAGCTCTTCTGATTAAAGAGAGCCATGTGGGCAGAGAGGGAAGTCACCAGCAAAGAGAGGATGGCTTTTGTGCTTTGTTAGCTGAAGAACCAAGAACCAAGTGACTCTGAAAAATGATGCACTTTTTTGTCTCATCTCTGAGTTTTTGGTGACCATTTCAAGTACCAGTTGCCTCAAACTCATTTCCATCTCCAGTCATTTTCATCTCTAACTAATCATGTCCATCTCTAATCAGTTTCCTCTCCAATTTTCTTTGCCCTCCAGCCACAAGCTCCAAAACAAATCCCCCAACTCCATGTTTTTTTATTTTTCCTTCCCTTACCAAGAATTGTAGATTGGGCTCATTCTAAGCCCAAAGAACCAGTCCATTCCATGGGAACGACTCATGAGACCAGTCCTTTGAGGGGGGCATAACAGCTAACACCAACAGCTGAGTGACTCAATTTGCCACCTTACCATGGGATGTTTTGGCATTGGGAAGCCAGAGTCTATTACTCCTCAAATCTCCCTAAAGGGGAAGCTTTTTGATTGAATGGAATTTATTTTCACTAAGTAGCTAATAATGTTAATTAAATATTTTATTCTTTGGCAGCAGCTAAATTAAAGACACTAAATTTCTGTTGTGAGTAGGAATATGTCGCAGTCACAGACATAAAAAAAAAAAAAAAAAACAACTTCCTAGCCCTGGCTGGCGTAGCTCAGTGGATTGAGCGCGGGCTGGGAACCAAAGTGTCCCAGGTTCGATTCCCAGCCAGGGTACATTCCTGGGTTGCAGGCCATAACCCCCAGCAACCACACATTGATGTTTCTCTCTCTCTCTCTCTCTCTCTCTCTCTCTCTCTCTCTCTCTCTCTCTCTCTCTCTCTCTCTCTCTCTCTCTCCCCTCCCTCCCTTCCCTCTCTAAAAAAAAATAAATTAAAAAAAAAATTAAAAAAAAAAACTTCCTTTAAAGTCATGTCTTCATTGATACAGTAGGAAGCTAGGCAATAAGCAAAATTAGGTAAACAAGTATTATAGGATGGGACCTTGCCCAAGGGTGACATTTCCTCCCATAGCAGTTTAGACTCCCTGTCCTTTCATATCACTGGTCATTTGGTTTGGCACTTCCCCTGATCTTTCCTCCCCTGGTATGTCATTAGTCATGTTAGACTCTATTAGAGGAGGAATAAGGGGGCTGGAGAATATCCAAATATAACTCCCATACAAGCCCTTGCATGACCCCTCTCTTAAGCATTAAGCTGTCCAGATAATGAGGTTCTGGCCCATATCAAATAATCTTAGGAAAAAAGCCTCGGGTCTATTGACCACTGAGACAGTGTTTTGGTCAAACTAGAGATAACATCTAGGCCTCAGTTGAATTTCCCAGGCACAATAAAGCAGCAAAACAGATGAAGTGACACCATGGCTGACACAGGACCAACTGCAATGACCAATAACCTCCTGCCTTGGTACTGACCAATCAGTAGAAACCACAACCCTGAAAGGACACACCTGGAAAGCTGATGAATATTCTATTGAGATCTTCCCCTGAGACCTCCTCTAAAATCTCCGCCTTTGGAAAACATACAAAACGGCTTAAGACAAAGGGCCCAATGTGCACTCTCTCTGAAGCACACCCCTGCCTTTCCTCCTCTCCTTCCCACAGGCTCATTTTCTTTGCCTTTCTTTGTTCTGAGCTCCAAGGACACTTCCTTTGCCTCTGTAACTTGTTTTCTGAGACCATGCAGCCCAATTGGCTCAATTCTTCTATCTCTGTGACTTTCTAAATAAATTTCTTATGCCAGAGTTCTTGGCTCTGAATTGTTTTTTAGCCAAACTCAAGGACCAAGGTCTAACATCACCAGTAACATTCTGGTGCCATCTGCCATTAACATCTATCAAGTGTGTTTTACCAATTCATAAGCTATCTACTACTCTGTGTGGCTTTATCAAGTTTCTAATTCCAGTGAGAATAGATAATTTTGTCATTGTTGTTGTTTTTCACAGCAATGCCAACATATTAAACACTAAGAGCTAACCCTGTTAGTGTTCCAATCCAGGATTTCACAGTCATCAGAATATTACAGCTGGAAGGGCTCTTAAAGATCATCTAAACCAATGCCTTTATTTTAAAATGAGAAAATTCTGGCCAATAGAGGTTTAATGGCTGGTCCAAATTTATACAGGTACTCAATACACTTTAGAAAGTCTTTCTTTTTTTTTGACATTTTATGTTTTTTAAATAAATTACTTTATTGTTGTTCAATTACAGTTGTCTGCATTTTCTCCACACCCCTCCCCCAAAACCCCAGCCAAACCCACCTCCCTCCCTTGCTTCCACCCTCTCCCTTGACTTTGTCCATGTGTCCCTTATAGTAGTTTCTGAAAACCCTTCTCCCCACTGTTCCCTCCCCACTCCCCTCTGGCTACTGTTAGATTGTTCTTAATTTCAACATCTCTGGTTATATTTTGTTTGCTCTTTTCTTTTGTTTATTATGTTCCAGTTAAAGGTGAGATCATATGGCATTTGTCTTTCACTGTCTGGATTATTTCACTTATCATAATGCTTTCCAGTTCTACCCATGCTGTTGCAAAGGGTATAAACTCCTTCATTCTCTCTGCTGTGTAGAATTCCATTGTGTAAATGTACTGTAGTTTTTTGATCCACTCATTTACTGATGGGCACTTAGGTTGCTTCCAGCACTTGGCTATTGTAAATTGTGCTGCTATGAACACTAGGGTGTATAGTTTTCTTTGGATTGGTGTTTCAGGGCTCTTAGGGTATAATCCCAGCAGTGGAATTGCTGGCTCAAAAGGCAGTTCCATGTTTAGCTTTCTGAGGAAATTCCATACTGTTTTCCACAGTAGCTGCACCAGTCTGCATTCCCACCAACAGTGCACTAGAGTTCCCTTTTCTCTGCATCTTCTCCAACACTTGTTGTTTGTTGATTTGTCTATGATAGCCATTCTGACTGGTGTGAGGTGGTATCTCATTGTGGTTTTAATTTGCATCTCTCTGATAGTTAGTGATGCTGAGCATCTTTTCATGTGTCTCCGGGCCCTCTGCATGTCCTCCTTGGGGAAGTGTCTGGACCATCTTTCTTGAAACTCACCAAAATAAATGTACTCCATTCCCTACCAATTTTGCATCACATTGTTAACAGAACTACCCTTACAAAGAGATAACAAAGGTGTTCTTTGTTGGGTGGAATGTGTAGAGTGAGAGAGTTGTGGTTGATTTCATTTTTCATTTTTCCTAAATCATCCTAGTATAGGGTATGGTCTAACTCTTAAAATGCAAAGATTATTTTTAAAAAAGGGTGTATAGTAAACCATCTTCAGCCATTTATCCCTGATCCTGAATTAATTTATGAGAATAGTTGGTCACCTATTAAGGACCTGATGGATGAAGACAAAGAATGGTGACAATGATGATGTTAATGATTACCTACAAGAGCTTTGGTCCAAGGAAGAAAAACAGTAAAAATCTGGAATACGATACTCTGGGCAAAAGCCATGAATGTTAAAGTGAGGATTATGAACTCCCAACAGTCAGCAGGATAGTCTCACCTGCTTGGAAAGGAGGTGAGATTTGCAATTTCATGAGCACATACTATGAGCCAGGTATTGTTCTAGGGACTTTATTTAGTCCACATTACAATATTGTGAGTTAGTATCACTATCCCTAAATATTGGATTCTAGCTAATTCTGCCTAATTCTTGGAACTTGTTAAAATACCTCTACTCCATTCCCTACAAGTCCACACCATTTAGGGAAGAAGATGGTTATAGAAGATGCTGCCAGTGGAAAAAAGAGCACAGACAGAGAGTAGATAATCCCTGAAGTACTAGTTCTCTTATTTTATAATAGTGTTGAGAGACAGATTTACTCATAAGCCACAACACTGACAACACAGCTGAGGAAATTATTCTTGACATCGTGAAAACTCTTCACCCTAAATGGGGTTTATAGGGGTGGTAAATCACTATAGAAAAAAGAAAATTAGTGGGTCATGTAATGAGGATATTATACTGCAACATGACTTCCTAGAAATCAGTATTAATAAGGTTATTATGGGCTTATATTTTTAGATACAAAAAAAGAAACAAAAATGTACCTTATAAAGTAAACAAATCCATTAATAGACAAAAGGGTTATAAGCAAAGCAAGGTAGACCATCATGGCAAACACAGGGTTGAAATCTGCAAAGAACAAGAGGAAGAGGAAGAATTGCATTATCAGAGAGAGGCTATAAATAAAAAGCACCACAGAGCAACTCCCCATGCTTTCTGGTAACTCTAAAATCAAGCTACATCTACCTAAATTCCATTTTTCTACAGCACAGTCTGTCTTGTTGACTTTACAGACACAGAAAGCAATTTAACTCTTCTGAAGCAAAATCACCCCCACCCTGACAATTACAAATCACATGGATTAAGGCTGACCTGGGTATTCCTTTGGAGAAAAAAAGTCCATGAATGGAAAACTTTGAGTACCTTACTTTAAGTTGGACAGCAATAGAGATTTATTTATTTATTCTTAGTTCTTAGTTCTTCAGAATAAATATGTTAGCTCACTTGTGAAAGCTAAGTATTATGTTGTCTTCATAAAATAAAAGACCTTTTTAATTCACCTGATCCCATAGATGTAGTAAGGTTTTTTAATTTTTACTTATTGATTTAAGAGAGAGAGAATCATGCATTTGTTGTTACGCTTAGTTATGCATTCATTGGTTTATTCTTGTGCATGCCCTGACTGGGGATTGAACCCACAACTTTGAAGTATTGGAACAATGCTCTAACCAACTGAGCTACCTGGCCAGGACAACCTCATGAGTCTTTGATGAAAAATATAGCACTTGTTCTTTAAGGGTGAGTCCAGCTTTGATAATTGGTGTTTTCATCAGGACATAAATTGGCCTCTTGAAAATCTAAATATTTGGATTGATTACTAACATTTCAAGGGGAAAATATGTGATGACACAAGTAAATAGGTAGTTGAGTATGTCAAATGAAAGAAAAATAATACAGAGCCAAGATGGAGGTATAGGTAGATACATTTTGCCTCCTCATACAACAAAAAGAAGGACAACAACAAATTTAAAACAAAAAATAACCAGAACTGCTAGAAAATCGAACTGTATGTAAGCCCGACAACCAATGAGTTAAAGAAAAAACATTCATCCAGACCAGCAGGAGGGGCAGAGACAGGCAGCTGGGGTGAAGAGGACTCATGGCAAGGCAGTGGCTGGAGGACCAGGCAGTCCCATATTTGCATGCAGATAAACTGGAAGGAACAACTGGAGAGCAAGACAGACCATGCAACACAAGGTTCCAGCATGGGGAAATGAAGCTTCAAAATCTTTGAAAAAACCTGTGGGAGTGCCCTGGCTGGTGTAGCTCAGTGGATTGAGCGTGGGCTGGGAACCAAAGTGTCCCAGGTTCGATTCCCAGCCAGGGTACATTCCTGGGTTGCAGGCCATAACCCCCAGCAACCGCACATTGATGTTTCTCTCTCTCTCTCTCTCTCTCTCTCTCTCTCTCTCTCTCTCTCTCTCTCTCTCTCTCTCTCTCTCTCCCTCCCTCTCTCTCTCTCTCTCTCTCTCTCTCTCTCTCTCTCTCTCTCCCTCCCTCCCTCCCTAAAAATAAATAAATAAAATCTTAAAAAAAAAAAAACCTGTGGGAGTTGAGGCAGCAGAAGAAACTCCTAGCCTTATAGGAGAGTTTGTTGGGGAGACCCAGAGGATCCTAGAATGTACACAAGCCCATCAACCCAGGAATTAGCACCAGAAGGGCCCAATTTACATGCAGGTAGTGGAGGAAGTGACTGAAAGCCAGTCAACAGCTGAGCAAGTGGCATTATTCCCTCTCAGACCCCTCCCCCACAATCAGCACCACCACCCAGTGATGTGCGTTGCACAGCCCTGGCCAAAACCTAACTTTCCACCCCTTACTATGTAACAAGTGCGCTGAAACAAACAACAACAAAAAAATATGGCCCAAAAGAAAGAGCATATCAAAGCTCCAGAAAAAAATACAACTAAGCGACAAAGAGATAGTCAACCTATCAGATGCACAGTTTAAAACACTGGTAATTAGGACGCTCACAGGGTTGGTTGAATTTGGTCGCAAATTAGAGGAAAAAATGAAAGCTCTGCTAAGTAAAATAAAGGAAAATATACGGTGAACCAACAGTGAAGGGAAAGAAACTGGGACTTAAATCAATGATTTGGAGCAGAAGGAAGAAATAAACATTCAAACAGAACAGAATGAAGAAACGAGGATTCAAAAGAATGAGAAGAGGCTTAGGAACCTCTGGGACAACCTTAAACCTTCCATCAGCCAAATCATAGGGGTGCCAGAAGGAGCAGAGGAACAGCAAGAATTTGAAAACTTATTTGAAAACATAATGAAGGAGAACTTCCCTAATCTGACAAAGGAAATAAACTTCCAGGAAGTCCAGGAAGCTCAGAGAGTCCCAAAGAAGTTGGACCCAAGAAAGCACACACCAAGGCACATCAAAATTACATTGCCCAAGATTAAAAAGAAGGAGAGAATCTTAAAAGCAGCAAGAGAAAAGGAGACAGTTACCTACAAAGGAGTTGCCATAAGACTGTCAGCTGATTTCTCAAAAGAAACTGTGCAGGCAAGAAGGGGCTGAAAAGTAGTATTCAAATCATGAAAAGCAAGGACCTACATCCAAGATCACTCTATCCAGCAAAGCTATCATTTAGAATGGAAGGGCAGATAAAGTTCTTCCCAGATAAGGTCAAGTTCAAGGAGTTCATCATCACCAAGCCCTTATTATCTGAAATGTTATAAAGGGACTTATCTAAGAAAAAGATGATCAAAAGTATATACAGTAAAATGGCAACAAACTCACAACTATCAACAACCAAACCTAAAAAGACAAAAACAAAAACAAAAACAAACTAAACAAACAACTAGAACAGGAACAGATTCACAGAAATAGAGATCACATGGAAGGTTATCAGTGGGGAGGGGGAGGGAAGACAATGGGGGGAAAGGTGCGGAGAATAAGAAATATAAATGGTAGGTACAAAATAGACAGAGGGAGGATGGGAAATGGAGAAGCCAAAGAACTTATATGTACAACCCATGGACACGAACTAAGCTGGGGAAATGCTGGTACAGGGTGGAGGGGAATAAAGGGGAGAAAAAAATGGGACAACTATAATAACATAATCAATGAAATATATTTTTTAAAAAGCAAAATAGAAATGAAAGTCTATTTCAAATATATGCATTTCATTTTAAAAGGTTGTGCTATACACTTACAAAGCAAGAATATGGATCCTTCCAATGTTCCCCTCTGGCTCCCAGGGACTTGGTGGAGTTGCCCCTCTTCCTCAGGCCAGAGGAGTTCCATTAGTCAATGAAACCGCAAGTATTTATTAAATGCCGACTGTTTCAGGCAGTTGGGGACCATAAGAATTATTAATTATGTTCCCTGCCCTCCAGGACTAGTCTATTTGGGAGGGGGAGACACAATCAATATATAAGAAACAATTGAAAATGAATTTTATGCTAAGTTATGAGGTATAGACTTTTAGTTCAATGGGATTTCAGAGAGGAGAGGATGTAAATATGGTATTTCTGTGTTGGAACCTGATCAATGGGATTTGGATATACCAAGGGAAGGACAGATGATCTTTCTAGCAGGGGGAGAAATAGCAGCCTACAAAAGATCAAGGAGAAGTCCCATGCCTTCCTCTTATTAGAGTAAGCCCTCTGGGAGTAGGATCATTTTTAAAACAACTGGGGAATATAGAGAAAAGACTCAGGGTTGTGAGGTGGAAGGGTGGCTGGGGGACTGGATGGAAAGATTGAAGGGATTAAGAACTACAAATTGGTAGCTACATAATAGTCATGAGGTGAAAGGTACAGCATAGGGAATATAGTCAATAATATTGTAATAACTGTGTATGGTGCCAGGTGGGTACTTGAAATATCAGGTGGACTACTTGGTAAAGAATATGATTGTCCAAATGTTATGCTGTATACCTGAAACTAATACAAAATAATATTGAATATAAGCTATAATTTAAAAATAAGATTTTAAATGAAAAAAAAAGAGGTGGAACCTTTTCAATTGTGGGTGATTATTCAAGGCTGCAAAGTACCTCTCATTGTCCTTATTATTTTAAAATAACTACATAGGGTGCCAAGATATTTATGTCCTCTGAATGTAAATGGTTGATTCTATGACTGTTCAGTATTAAAATATGCCTTTCCCTAAAGTGGTTCCCTTGTAACCCAAATAAATCAGATTGACTACCAGTGATTTTCCATCACTTACCTCCTTGGCAGGTCTTCCTTCTGCAAACCAGCATTTGGCATCTACCCAAGGAGGCCTGCCACCAGGGAAGTGAATGGGAGTCCCTCCGAACTGTAGGAACTCCATTTCCATGTCCACAGTGTAAGCACTATGTAGTACCCATTCTTTCCAGTTGGTGTCCAGGATTACATATTCTGAAATTCTATTTCCATTTTAATCTGTCTTTATCAACTGGTTAAATCCATACAACTGCATATTTCTGGAATGCTGAACCAGACTGGCAGCACTAACCCATCCATTTTCTTTCATAGCCTTATTCGTGGCTTCTGTGATAAGATGAATTGAATTGTAGGTCATTCCAAACAATGGTGAAACCTATTTTTAAAAATTACAATTATCATGAAAAGATGCTCAGTATCACTAGCCGTCAAAGAAATGCAAATTAAAACCACAATGAGACACCATTTCACAGCAGTCAGAATGGCCACCATAAACAAAGCAACAAACAAGTGCTGGTGAGGTTGTGGAGAAAAGGGAACCCTAGTGCACTGTTGGTGGGATTGCAGGCTGATGCAACCACTGTGAAAAGCAGTATGGAATTTCCTCAAAAAAAACTAAAAATGGAACTGCCTTTGACTTGGCAATTCCACTACTAGGATTATACCCTAAGAACCCCAAAACACCAATCCAAAAGAACCTATGCATCCCAATGTTCATAGCAGCACAATTTACAATAGCCAAATGCTGGAAGCAACTTCAGTGCCCATCAGTAAATGAATGGATCAAAAAACTATGGTACATTTACACAATGGAATTCCACACAGCAAAAAGAAAGGAGCTCCTACCCTTTATGACACCATGGATGGAACTGGAGAGCATTATGCTAAGTGAAATAAGCCAGGTGGTGTAAGATAACTACCATAATATTTCACCTTTAACTGGAAATTAAACAACAAAATTAACAAGAAAGCAAAATATAACCAAAGGCATTGAAATTGAGAACAGGCTGACAGTGACCAGAGGGGAGGGGGTAATGGGTGAAAAGAGTGAAGGGTTTACAGGGACAACTGTAAAAGACACATGGACAATAACAACGGGGTAGTGGAAATAGGGGAAGGAGGTGGGGAAGCCTGGGGTGGTGGGGAGGGGTGGGGGAAAAGGCAGAAAACTGTACTTGAACAACAATTTTAAAAAATTACAATTATCTTGAGCTCTAGTAACCCTAGAGCAATCTCAGAGTGTATTCTAACCCTGTGTTCATTATAAGGGGGTGCACATCTCAGTGGAGGAAAGCTATGAAGACCCAGAGGGAAAAAAACTATTTTTGAGGACTTGCTTTGTTTTTCACCTGAATTTTTCTGTTTTTCTCCCCCAGTCCTTTACATCTTTAAATATATGAAATATGAGAATTTTATGAGCAAAGTAAGTCATACACTATATATTTTTATGTCCCTAAACTAAGAAAGGAATTTAGAGTTATAAAGGGCAGTAAAATAACATGTATGGAATGGACAAGAGGCACTCAAAGGAAATTTACCAGGTTAGTTACTGGTACATTATGCATGGTAAAATCACTTTGCTGGTACTAATACAGTAGTAGGTGTGTGTGGCAAGACTGTAAATAATGTGCATCCACAGTCCATGTCTTTATCCTGTCTTAGTTCAATATGGCTATTCTCCTAGACACATGCTCCCCAAAGGAAGTGAACAGTAGAATACAGTTTTAAACACAGCTTCTCCCAAACACATGTAGACATGCATAACAACACATCCATACCCACAAATTACAGAGCACAATGTTGTACTATATGGATAATGTGGGTTCAATCAAGAAACTTTATATCTTATTGGTATTCAAAGTGGCAAAGCCTTGGTGACAAGTCACTATTAAGCAGTAAGACTATTACAGTGGACAGCATGACTATGCATGCTTTATAAATATGGTAAAAGCAATAACATTTGTTTACTATGCCTGATGCACTGTTCATTAACCTTGTAAGTTTATTTTTGGAACAAACTTGTATCTTTTTTCCATAAAGGTCAGAAAGAAGAGGACACAATCCCTCCCTCCTTCCCCCCACACCAGCTACGGCTTCATGGTTTTCCATTACATTTCACTTCTAGGATGGAGTTCAAGAACACTATGGTCATGCCATTTAACTGAGCTTCAGGGAAAGCTGATAATTGTTACTTTTGTTTTACAAGGTCTAAAAAGCTATCCTTGTGTGAGAAAATCATCTGAATTAAAGGATTTGAAATTGAGTGTGTCGTTTTTGTGATGGAAATATAAGATGCAGAAAGTTGCACCAGCTAACAAGACACTGCCATGCCTTGTTAATGTAGAGTGGAGGGTTCTCAAGCCTGGCTGCACATTAGAATTCTCCAAGGAGTGTCAAAAGTACCATTGCCAAACCAAACCCAAACCAACAAAATGAGACACTAGGTTTGAGACCCAATAATCAGTACTACTAAAAGCTCCCCAGGGAGTCTAATATGCATTTAGGGTTTAAAATCAAGAATATAGAAGAAGACAAACTGGTCTAATGCCAGGCTGTTGGTCAAATCACATCTCCCCTCTCTCTGTGCTTCAAAAATGAGGATACAGAATCATGACTGTGTAAACCTTGAAGGTCATCTGGTCTAGCTATCTTTCTTTCTAGGTACAAAAGAGAAACCTAGAGTAGTTAAGTGATTTTTCAAGGTCACTTACGTAGGCATAAAGTCAGGACTAGAACCCAGGTCTCCTATTTCTTAGTTTAACATTCCTAATTGAAAGAGATGGTCCCTTTGGTCCCTCCTAGTTCTGAACTCCTGTGAATTTTCCCAACTCTTGGTCTAATCAAGGGATCAAACTTACTTTACAGACATCCTTGTTTGGTCTATATATGGGTTATTCTTCATCTCTCTGATCTCTTAACATTGGAGTGCCCCACAGCTCAGTCCTTCACCCTCTTTTCTATCTACACTCACTCCTTTAGTAATCTCTTCTAGTCTAATGGCTTTAAATACCATATCTATGTCACAAATCTGAGATATATTGTTCCAGTTCAGGCCTCTTATCTAAATTTCAGACTGATATAGTCAATGGCATACTTTAATATCTCTACTTGGATGTTAAATTTTAAAGTACCCAAAATCAAAATCCTAATCTTTACCTCAAATCCTCCTGTTCCATCTACAATGAGTCATCTCCATGTTTTTTGCTAAAGTTATCCCATGCTTCTAGTTGTTCAAGCCAAAAACCTTACCTCAGATAACAGAAACAACTAATAGCAGCACAGAAGTCAACACCTTTGTCTCCTGAGCTTTATGCCAATGATCTCCCTTTACCACTCTGCTTCAACATACACTATTCAAATAGGTAGGGTAAATGGATGACATGTGCTGCCACCAAGACATCTACACTTAGTTGCCTAGTACACACTGAGGTTCCTTAAAGGGTTTTCACTAACTCTCCCTCCTAGCATTCTCAGATACCTCATTTAATTGTCTTTAAGATTTCTGCAAGAGCCTGCCTGTTTTCTGGAGCTTTGGTAGGTTATGACAATAAATGAAGGCTGGAAGGCAGAGTATAAAATCAATACTAGTAAAATGAATGAGTAAGAAACGACAGGGCAGCAAACACCTGAAAGCAAGGAGAATGCTAGTATTCTGTTTTGAAAGGCACAGTGCTTTCTGGGAAAGAGACTACATCTACCTACAGACAAAAGCAAATATTGAAACCTTTAAAAACAATACCATCACCTCTGAGTTGATGCATCCCAAAGAGTTTTCAGCTGGCCAAGCTATTCTGCCTTTTGTGCTCTCTGATTGATCCCTGTTAGATCTGACTGATACCAACTCACCAAGATGACTGAAACCTGAACCCTGTTCTTCAGGATTCTCTAGCCTCCATCACATACCAAACACACAGACACAAACACACACATGCATGCATACACATATACACACAGCCACAAGTGTGGTAGAGTGACCTGAAACTAAGGTGAAAAGCATAACTGTAGCAACAGTATTCAGTTGCAAAAGAGTATCTGTCATAATGACCCACTCTTACTGCAAGGGCTTGGATTTGTGTTCTAGCTGGTTTGTGTTCCTGTTTCACCCATTGTGCCCCTAAGAAATGATAATTGTCCATTCCCATAAATCAAACGCACACTCTGTTAGTCTTGGTCACAAAAGGTCTCTAGGTGCAGCTGCTGCAAATAATGAGAAAAACAAGAGGTAGAGAGTGGGACAGAAAAAAGACACTCTCAACAACCCTCTGCCCTGGCTTCTGACTACAACTCCAAAGAAAAACAGAATTGGCAGGAACTTCTTTCAGACAGATGACCTTATTGACATCACAACCCAGAACTGGGAAACCACTGATGATTTGTCTCCCTATAGACTTGACCATGAACAAATGAAGAATTTTGAATATGTGAATGATAATTAAAACTTAGACTTGTCATTCATTGACTTTTGCTGGACCTACCCTAGGCCTTTTGGAGTGTATCTGAAAGAGCAAGGTCTTAGTCAAGAGCAGTGATATTTGCATTTGTTCACTATAATGGTTCATGCTATTTTTAAGTTGACTATCATCAGTTCAGATTTATTGTGTCCAAAAGACACAAAACGGCCTTCCAAAAAATTTTGTCCTTGGAAGCATGCATTAAAACACACCTGGCTTGGAAAGCATAACTTGAAGGACAAAATGGTAACATCACTATTGATGAACAAAAAGTCAGACACATGCAGAGAACACGAAACCAGAGTAATGGAATTTCTGTTATTAAATGTAGTACCATCAATGATGCATGATCTCAACCCTTGCACTTAGCCAAGAGATGGCTAATATCCCAATCTGTTTGATATAATACTCATAAATATAATACCATTATTTTATATAAAGAATGAGGAACAAAGACAGTTGCAGCTACTGTGAGCTGCAGGCAACCTTTTGTGACAGCCTATGCAGTGGGCCCCATCCTGGAATGCTCCAATCCTAACTACATTCCCTTCAGTTTAGCACCCGAGACACCCATAATTAGGGTAATGGAAAACAATAGGTGCAAGGGCTTGAGGTCCTCCGGGCTTGCTGAGAAATATAGAGGATTTCCTTTGCTTAGCCAAATAAGGTCCATTTGGAAAAAACATCCAAAATGTGTGTTCCAGCAATATGTATTTGCAGCAGATAGAATTTCATTGGAAACAAGGAAATACAATAAAAGAGAAGAATGCAGGCACTAAAACCTTATTTCAGAAGTCTAGTCTGTGCCAAAATATAAAGGTACAAAGTGAAAATCCTTGCACACTCATCCTGAGACCAAATTAGGAAATTTGTTACTGGTATCCCACTGCTCTAATCTCTTAATTCTGATTTTTTGTTCTCTTTT